GGGCAGGCCCCGAGGGCGGGGGAATGTAGGGGAACAGGGACTTGATGTCCCGAGTCCCGGCACCTTGGCCGTTCCCCTCCCCGCCGGGGTTGGACTGGTCGGTGCCGGCGGGGAGGGGCAATCTCTCGGCGGGGGTCGCTGGTTTTGTGTAGGCGCCTGGTGCTGTGGCGTCGGCGCAGTCTGGGGTGAGGTAGACGGCGATGCTGTGGCGCTCAACTTCCACCTCCGTCGTCGCTTCCCGCTTGACTCGTGCCGTGGGGTAGATGCGCGAGGACTGCTGGTCGAGGATGTAGTCGAGCGTGCCTGGGGCCACGTTCCAGATGTGCGCGAGGCACCGTCTACAGGCCCAGCTGGCGTTCCACTTCCGTTGGGTCTGAGGGTGGGCATCAGATCCCATGGCGGCAGACCAGTGTTGTCGTCGACGGGTGCCTCGGGCTCTGGGTTCCGCAGGAAGCAACCTAGCGCTGGGCGGGTCGTTGCCCACTCCAACAAACGTGATCCCGTCGGGCAGGTGTCACGCCGGGTTGACTAGGTGCCAGTGGAGCGTGACTTTGAGACGAACATCCCGTCCGTCAGTTTCTGAGCAGGGAGGGTCGTGTTGGCGGCGCGGGGGCTGAAGGCGGGCGGGGTTTTCATGACGAGGTCGCGCAAGGACGTATGGGGTCGGGGCCATTAGTGGTCGCCCGTATCCGATCGGGAGCCCAACAAGGGATGGGAGTGCACTGGACTTCCTGTCGGGACGCGTCTTTTCCAGTGCGCCCCTGTAATATTGCAGTCGCGTAGCTAGGGACCTCTTGCGGCCGCAGTCGTACTGGGCAAGAGGTGTCACGATGCCCCTTTCATCCACGGAGGTGATCCAGCATCGCTCGCAGAGCCACTTGCAGCTCTTGCCCCGTAGGTGCGACTGGGAACGGTTCTGTGCTAGGAGGTCCCTCGTGTCGTCGTCTTCCCAAAAGCTGGCCGTGGACTTGAGTCCTCTTCTGGGGCAGCCGGCCCCGTCGCAATCGAAGCGGTCGTTCTCGAAGTCGCAGCCGAACCTGTCGTCAGTCACCCTTGGTGGGATCAGTAGTGTTCCGGGAGCCGGGGAGGCTGGGGAGTCTTCGTCGAGCCGCCTGTAAGACATGGCGATGCCTCCTCCGATGTATTCCAAGGCTGCCATGGTGTCCGGGCATCCGAGCCCTTCCTCTGACCCGCTGAGCTCTTTGCGAAGGGTGCAGATGGAGCACTTGCTCGTGCCCAGGGAGCTTGGGGATACTTTTTGATTAGCGGCCCGCAAGGAAAACTCCAGAGGGCGGAGTGACCGAGGCTGGGGCACAGCGCAAGATAATTAGCGCGAGAAAACGAGCTTGAGGATTTTTGTTGAGAAAAAAACCAAACAACAAAAAAAAAAAAAAAACATCCGCAGGCGGAAACGCCAGCGGCAGGCGGTCACGGTCGGGCTGCGGCCGACTAGGGAGCGGGCGGGCGCGGGGCCGCGGTCAGGCGGCAGGCAGCAGCGACCCAGGGCGTCTGAGCCAAGGCGTGCATATCCAGGGAATCAGCAGGGCAGCCCCTGAAAGGAACAAGAGCTTGGGGATACGCGAAGCGTCAAAAATCCCACCAGCCCTCTGAGCGTAGGTGGTCGAACGGATACTTGGGGCTCTCCTGAGCCATGCTCAGCTATCTCGGACCGTACTCTGGATGCCTTAAGATATCTTGGAGGTTTGTCGGAGGCTATCTGAAGCCATGCTCGACCTCCTAAGACCATTTTGGGGGTAGGAGGCGAGAGGAGAGGTGGAGGAGGAGGAGGAGGAGGCGGAATGCGGCACGAGGACAATGTGAATAAGGACGGGTAGGAAGAGGAGGATGAGGAGGAGGGAGGAGGCAGGAAGAGAGGGAAGGAACGAACGATGACAAGGAGGATGAGACGCTGGGCTTCGGTCGTGGGCCGTTTATTGAATGCAATCTTCTCTCTGCCAAAGCTCCCTCCTTCACCTGCTCGGGGAAATGGTTGACCCCATCCCCCCACCCCTTCTGGGCCTGGAAGGGGCGCCCCGCGAGTGATTGGAACGTCCAAGATGGCCCCAACATGGTCTTTGAGAACGCATGATGGCCTGCAGCATGGCCCACGATACTTCAAGATGGTTCAAGACAGCTTCTGGCTCACATCTAACAGGCCTCAAAACGCCCCCGAGACGGTGTCAAAATGCCTCCGAGCCTTCCAGGGCCCCCCCGAAGAGGCCAAACTGGCTCCAAAACGAAAAAGGAAAATCGATGTGGTTTGCCTTCTGGCTTTTTCGCTTCCGATGGGCTCATGCGGCCTCAAGATGGCCCCAAGACAGCCCAAGAGAGCCCGAATAGGGGCTCAAGAAAGCCCGAAGACAGTCGCAAGAGCGCCCACGAGCGCCCCAACAGGGCCTCACAACACAATGAGCCTCTGGGTGGGACCTGAACTTCCCACCGCCTCTTTTCTTCTCATGGGGGCCAAGATGGCCCCCAAAAGGCCTCCCGGACCCCCCCACCGTGCCCGCAAAGGGCCCTAAGGAGGTTCCAGGCGTGCCCCAAGAGGCCCCACGAGGACCCGAAGAGAGCCCCAAGATGGTGCCAAGAGACCTCCTGGAAAACGCTTCCAAGGCGGTTGTTACACTGCACTCTTCTACACTTCCCTGATCAAGGCAACTCGCCTAGCGATCTGCTGGACGGGCTGGTGGGGCTACGCGAAGCGTCAAACAATCTATCCGGGCGCCCTATCGATCTGCACTCGCGGAACACGTTCGACTGCTTTTGCGGCGCGGGCTGGTGAAGGTATGCAGGCCATCGGGGGACTCCGATGTCCTCACGATTGGGGGGCAATTCGGCGTTTCCTTGCCTGGCACTTAGAAAGAAATGTACGGAGTACCTAGTGAAATGACCATTGCAGGCCTGCAGCGAATCCAGCCACGGATAAGCTGCACAGCAGGGCGGCAACAAGACTTCACCTGGCGCCACCATGCGTCAGAAAGGCGTCGAGGGCCAGCGATCCCCCCCGCTCGCAGCGGGCTAGACTGCGGGGCCGCAGAGGCTGGTCAGCCCGCAGCGCGCCGCCGCGCTCTTCAGCAAGCGGCCCCGCTGGGCCTGGCCGAAGTGATCGCGAGGATGTGGCAGGGGAACTTCGCATTTTGAGCGCCTGGAGCACCTGCGGGAGCCATGGGGACAGCGGGGGGCTGTCGGCCACGAAGCTCTCGCTCGCGATGCCTGTCTTGGACGTCGAGGCCCCCCCACTTGAGGAAAAGAATAATGGACCACTGCTGCTCCTGGCCGTCGCGCTGGTCGCGGCTGGCAGGGGTCGGCGATGTGACCAACTCTCTCCGAAAACAAAGGCACTCGCTCGAACGGAGGAAGGATATGGAAGTGATGACGCTCGCCAGGGCCTCCATCGCGTGGCCCGCGCCGATCGTGGACTGCGCGCGCGGGCAGAGGGCGACCCTGGGGCGCGGCAGACGGCTTTCAGCGGGCATAATCCGCTTCGAGCCCGTCAAAGGCCCTTGTGCCGCGGGACAGCTCGAGGAGGGCGCCTCCTGCAGACGTCCAGAAGTAGCGGAGGCCCGCCATCAGCTTCGTCGGCACGTGCGTCATCTCGACCTCGCAGAATTTCACGCCCATGTGCATCGTGAGGGCGGGGTCGATGGTCTGCGCCGACTCGAGGGAGAACCTCGCTCCTGGCGCCAGCCCATGGCCGTGCGTTTGGTTGGCCTGAGCGGCCTTCGACGCGACACCCTGCAACTCGCGAAAGGACGGAAGGACGAGCGGTTGATGCTCACTGGGGGGTCCACGGCGGTCGGGAAAGCGCGGGCGCGTTTGATGGCCCGCTCGCCTGTCGCTGCCGGCCCGCGGGGCACCCACTCACGGCCCGGTGTCTTGGCGCCCGCGGGTGCTGGGTGAGCGGCCTCCGCCCAGCTCGGCACGCGCCCGACGACGGAAACTCCCGTCGGGGGCAGCGCCAGGGCGAGGCTCGCCATGAGGGCTTCCACCGAGGACGCCCTCGCGGAGGACTTCCAGGCCCGCAGGCCCCAACGCTGCCTCTGGATTCTGTGCAGCATGGAAGCGAAAGGCGACCGTCTTATACCTGGAGGCCAAGTCGGCTGCGTTAGACTCTGGAGGTGCGCACCTCCAATCAACGTGGTAATACGAGGCCAGGAGCAGCGCGGCAACCTGTCGACAACACTGGAGCATGCCTGGGATCGAAGACCGTCCTTTAACAACTGCCAGGATGGGGGGCCGAACCTGTTGAGAAGGACAAGATGTTTGCTGTCAAAGTCCCGAGCGTTGCGCGCGATGTTCCTAACGCTGAGGACGAGCGCGCGAGCCTGGAGCACCACCCGAGCCTCTGAGCGGGGGCCTCGGGAAAGGGGCCCTTCGGGATCTCCGAGTCCTGGGGAGACGCCGTGACCTTCCCATTCACGGAGTACTCGAAGGCCGAGTCTCGGGGCTTGAGGACGGCCTCGAGCGCCGCCGAAATAGCGCGGCCGCTCCTAATGCCGCCCGACCTCCTGAACCTCAGAGACGTCTCGGGGCCCCCTGACAGACGATGCTGGCGCGCCACGGGGACGCGTCAGCACAGACGGCTTCCATATCGCGGGAAGCGAGCACGATGAAGACAACACGCCAACGGAGCTTTCGCTTGACGGACCCCCACAGACGGCAGAAACGATATCCAGACACGTCGATGAAAGCGCTGGAGACCTGGACTGGAGTCAAGAGGGCAACTCGCGACGAAAAGGAGCCTGCGAGATAAAATGGGATATGACGATGTGGACCAGGCGTATTCTCCGCATCCCTCCTCCTCCATCCTCCTTTTCATTCTTCCTCCACCCTGTCCCCATCCTCCTCCTCCTCCTCCTCCTGGCGCACACTCCAAGTCCCCAAGTCCGCACATGACGCGGAGGAACGGCGCGCGCGCGTGAAACTACCCTGCACCCAGCCCCTTGCCAAGCTCGTCTGGCCAGGTCTTCAGACCTGGGGGCGGGGGGAGGGCAAACGGCCTCTGCACAGCGTCCTTGGCGTTCATCAGGCGCCCGGACAACTCCTCGCAGAGCCGGGCCCGCTCCGCCTGCGACTCCGCCTCCTCGCCGGCGCACTCGTTGCTTGCGCCGTCGTCGTCGTCGTCGTCGTCCTCCTCCTCCTCCAGAAAGAGCAACACAGATAATAAACATGCACTTTTGAAGGTCCGCGCGGATTTCTCGGATCGGCGCTGGACCCCCCTCCTTGGCGCGCGGAGCGCGCCTGGAGCGGCGCCGGAGGCGCCGCCAGGGGTGCTCGGTCTACGTCATCGCATGATCCCCGATGCTCCATTTCTCTTCGTTATGAATAACACCTCCCTGTCGCATCCCGAGGCCGGTCGAAAGGGCGGGCCGGGCGTTTCGCCTGAGACTTCCCTTCCACTTATGAGCTTGATGCTGAAAAAATTGACAACAGCTTCGCACATGGAGGGCGGGCCGATGTCAAAATGCGTCTTTCGCCTGAGCGCCGCGTACTTTTAAAACAATACAGAAGCTTCACGGATTCACGGCGGATCGTTTTCTTTATGCGGCTCTCGCCTTAGCACCACGCACATTTATTTTACAAGCTTGGGAACGCTTCGACTTGAGGGCGGGTGATTTTCAAAATGTGGCCCTGTCGTGGTGCCGCAAACATTCGCTTTCAACATGTGCAGAAACTTCACGGAATAAAAGGCCTGTGGTTTTCAGAATGCGGCTCTCGCCTAAAGCGACGTGAGAACTTCGTCCTAAAGGAACGCAAACGCTTCATGAATTGAGGGCAGATGGTTTTTTAAATGCGGTTCTCGCCGAGGCGCCGCGCGCGCATGTGTTTTGACACTATCCAGACGACGTACCCAAGCCTTGCGCAACGCATGGCCAGAATATCTGGGTGTATTATATGAGTTGTGATAGAATGACAAAGAAGAAAACGTTTCTGCGAAAGGCATTCGCGCTGTTCGCGAACTGCGCGACTCGCAGGGCACCGGTCAAGAGACAAGGGCTTGATACACGTAATTCGTTGGGTTCGTGGGCCGCAACAAACCTTGGAAGTGATGACAATTTCGCAGATCGCATGCCCCCCTGGACGGCGAGGACGGCGAGGTCTGTCTTTTAAATACTCAACCCCCTGTCCCATGAGGTCCCCTAGAGTATTCTCAGAGTTTGATGCGTTTCACAAGTGGTGCGACACTGTGTCCAGTGTCGCTGGGGTGGCGTCCCACAGTATGCGAGCATGACTGTACTGACGCCGATCTGGCTCAAGCGCGCAAAACATCCGGGAGGAGAGGGGCCTCCCGCTTGTCGCCCCGCGCGCCCCCAGGCCTCCAGAGTCCCTCGATCCGCCCGCGAACCCGTTTCACATGGTAGCAGGAGCGTGATGGTTGGGCAGGGACAGGGGCCGACGGGCGCCGCCGAGGGAGGCGAGCAGCCCCTCCAGCCCGACGAGGTGGAGCGTGCTGCCAGAGCAGCACTAGCAGCAGCAGCAGCAGCAGTAGCAGCACCAGCGCCCGAGGCTCCCAGCGGAGACCAAGGGGCGCGAACAGAGACGGCAACGACAGGGAGCGGCAGCCGAGGGACAGGCCGCGCGGGAGCTCCCTTGCAAGCAACGACAGCAGAGGAGGCAGACCCCTGGCTGCAGGGGGACCCGTGGAGCGACGCGGCTGGGAACAACCATGCCGGCTGGTGGAACTCGTGGAGAGAATGGTGGGGCTCAGCCAGCTGGTGGACCGGCTCGCAGGTGAATGAGTATGCAGACCACTGGTGGACCAACTTACCGGCGAACGAGGGCGAGGTCTGGGTCACCATCCAGAGGCCGCGGCAGCCGCCGCTCCCCCACGGGCTGATGCGCGGAGCGGCCGGGAGTGATCCCGCCACGGCGCAGGCCCCTCCGTCAGCACCTGCGCCGGCGACGCCGCCGGCACGGCCGCCCGCGGTGACGATGGCCCCGGCGCAGCCGACCCAGCCACTCGCAGCAGCAGCGACGGAGCTGACGGTCGAGGCGACGCAGGTTCCGCCACCGCCACGGCCGTGGGCACCCACTGACGGAGGATCGACGTCCACGTGGCGCCCGTCGGACACACAGGGCCCTCAGCCGTGGGGAGGCTTCGAGCATCTCGAGACCTACGTAGTGGCCCTGCGGCGATGGAGCAGAAGGACGGGCCTGCCAGCAGAGCAGCAGGCGGGCAAGGTCATCGACGGCTTGCCCGTGGACATGCAGGAGAGGCTCCTGCACTACGCGGAGGAGCTCGACGCCCCCGGCGGCATCGAGGTCCTCATCGACTTCCTGAAGAGGTGCCGGGGCGACCAGGACGGCGACGAGGCCAAGGAGAGCTTCAGGCTGGCACTGGAAGACACCGAGATGAGAGCGGGGGAGTCGTACACCCAGTACGTGATGCGCCGGGACCTGCAGGTGAAGTCGGCGAAGAGGTACGGGCTCGAGCTCCCAGAGCAGGTCCAGGTGCAGCAGCTGAGGAGTGGAGCGAACCTGAGTGAACAGAATGCGATCAACCTGCTCTCGATCACCCAGGGACGTGAGGATCTGGAGTCGATCAAGCAGGGCTTGAAGAAGATGGACGTGAAAAAGAAGAGCAGCCAGAAAAAGTCGAGGGTGTACGCGGTCGGACACGACGAGGACGAGGACGACGAGGAGGTGTTCGGCAGCAGCGAGGTCTACCTCGAGCTGGAGGAGGACCTCATCCTGGACACCGAGGACGCGCTGGCCTTCTACGAGGCGATCGCCAACCAGGAGTTGGACGAGGACCAGGCGGCGGCCGTCCTGGCCGCGGTGCTGGACGAGAAGAGGACCAAGGAGGGCCGGCCTCGGAAGTGGGCAGAGTCGCGAGAGCTGAAGAAGGCCATTGCCCGGGACCGCGACTTCTTCGACTCCAAGAGAGCCGGAGGCCGGGCGGCGCCACGCCCGCCAGCGGGCAAGCAGCGCCTCAGCATCGCCCGCCTCAAGGAGAGGACGCGGTGCGCCAACTGCGGTCAGAAGGGGCACTGGCGCAAGGAGTGCACCAATCCGTACAAGCCGAAGCAGATCGAGCAGCGGCCCAAGAAGGAGCTCGGGGGGAAGTCGCTCTACGTGGCGGCGGACTTGCTTGACGAGGGCGACGGCACCTTCCTCGTCGGAGGGCCTCGGATTCGGGAGCTGTTTCGGAGCGTGCTGATCGGCGAGTCCTGCGATCGAGGCCAGGTGGGCCACGGACGAGTGCTAGTCGACCAGCCTCTGCGAGGCCAGGTGGGACTCGCGGGGGAACGAGGCGATCCCGACGGCGGAGAGCTGGGGCCAGGTGGGCCTCGTTCGAGGTCAGAGGGAGCAGCTCCCGATGACAGAGAGCTGGGGCCAGGTGGGCCTCGTTCGAAGTCAGAGGAGGCGATCCTCGGCACGTTCATCCTGGACATCGAGGGCGACGAGCCAGAGGGCATGGTGGACACGGCGGCCGGGCAGGCGCTGGTGGGCGAGAAGCAGCTGAAGGTATTGCAAGAGAAGTACTACAAGAAGGGCTGGCGAATCCCGGTGAGAAAGACCGACGGCAACAGCAGCGCCAAGGGGATCGGCGGCCGCTCCAGGGTCGTCGGGGAAGCGATGGTGCCGGTGACCAGCGCGGGGATCCGGTGCCTCATCCTCTTCAGGGTGATCGCGGAGGACGTCCCCCTTCTCCTGCCCGTGCGCTGGATGGAGAGCCTGGGGGCCGTCGTGAACCTGGCCGAGGACAAGATCACGCTGCGCTTCGGGGGGCTCGACCGCACCGTCAAGCTCACGAGGCAGAGGTCCGGCCATCGCACCATGGCGCTGCTGGACGAGAGCCTCCCGGGGGACTTCGACATTCCTGAGGGGGCCCGGCGCGACTGGCCGGGCCTCGAGAATGACACGTTTCGAGTGTACAGGCCTTCCTCCTTTGCCATCCTCCCCTCCTCTATGCCCGAGGCCTCAGGAGAGCCCGTATTGGACCCCCTCGAACTCGAAGCCCCCGGGACCGTAGAAGGGAAGGGGGGGATCGGCTCGGCAGGATTCCAGGACACCCAATTCAAGGACTCAAGAGGCACTACGGGGAGATCACGAAGTACAAGAGAAGGAGAAGCTCAGGAGGATACAGGTACCAGAGGAGGTGGCACAGGGAGAGGAGGCGGCGGAGAGACCAGGAGGCTACCCTCGGAGCTCACTTCAACCGTCGTACAGACCCGTGGGCTCGAGAGCACGTCCGATTTCCTCGATTCATCTCACGGGCCAAGAGAACAGGAGCCTCTGTCACGAGAAAGCCATGGCGTCCGGGAGAGCTCGCACGCCAGCGGTGAGGAGAAGCTCCAGTCTGAAGCGAGAGGGGGGCTCGAGGAAGAATTCAGCACCAGGGACTCCCCGGCCGACAGTCACCTTCTCGGAGCCGATGGACACCAGCTGGGAGAGGCTGCCGGGGTCCGACCTGGAGTCCGAGGGGAGCGAACAGTCATCCCCGCCGCTGCAGGACGGCGCGGCATCGACCCGTCCCACACCTCCGTCGCCGCCCCAGCCGACGTCAAGGCCCCACATCGGCCTCCAGACGAGCTCCCTGAGGAAGGCCTGGAAGCGGATGACGGTCAAGCTGATGCACGTGGCCGACGTGGGACAGGCGACCAAGATGATACAGGAGATGCGCGACGAAGCGACCGGGAAGATGAACGCCCTGGAGTGCCCTCATCCACCCTGGGCCCACTGGGAGTCAGGCAACCAGCACATGCGCTACGTCAAGTGCCTGAGGTGCTCGAGCATGATCTGGAGAAGGGACCTCACGCACCGCGAGAAGCAGGCCCAACAGCTCAAGAAGGTCGAGAGGGAGGCCCGGCGGGCGGCGAGGACCAAGCAGCTGGAGACGCCGCCTTGGGAGCCGCCGAAGGTCGAGGGTCGCAGCAAGGAGGGCGTCAAGAGGGCGGCCAGGACTACTCCAGCGGCGTCGTCTGGTTCGGCCGACACGACGGTAGAGACGAGCAGCTCCGACCTCAACCAGATGATGAAGGCGATCCAGACCAACAGCGAGGTGGTATCGCAGCTGGCGCTGGCGATCCAGCAGCTCGTGCAGAAGGGGACCTGAGGGGCTCAGAGAGCCGAAGGAGG